GGCACTGATGCTATTTATAGTATCTCTTTAACACTTAATCCTATCTATATGTTTACTTTAATACTTAATATGATCACTTTAATAATTGAGATGGAATTTTTACTACCAATTTTAATGGGATTTGGGAATCCCATGACAAGGTTTTAAACTCTACCATTAGAACATAGTCCATAGTACTGTATGCAGAGCTGTACAGATTTATAGTTACAAACCTCCTTCTCCCTCTCTCATTCCCCCTCTCATTTTTTTACTGAGATCTATTTTCAGTTGACTTTATATACATGTGATTAACTCTATGTTAAATAAAGAGTTCAACAGATAGTATGAAGAAGAGAAAAACAAATTTAAACAAATTAAAAAAATAAAAACACTGTTCCTCAACAATCAAGATAAGGGCTATTCAAATCATTGCTTCTCAACATGTCAATTTCACCAAAAGTTAATCTTTGATTTACTCCTAGGTATTCTTTTGTGTAAAAGAAGCTTCTTCAAAATTCAGTGGCAGCATGATAATTGTTATAGGCACTGGCTTTGCAGTCAGACCATCTGCATTCAAATGTGAATCTACTATTTAAGAGAGTGACCAAGGACAAGTGGGCTAGTTATCTAATAAAGAGTAACAAATTTACCCTACAATTTAGTAGGACAAAACCATAATCCTTTATTATATCACACTGTGTTTGTGTGTCAGGAATTCAGGGGTGGCTTAGCAAGGTGGTTCTGACTCAGGATGGCTCATGAGGGTATACTCAAGGTATTGCACGAGGCTGTAGTCATCTGAGGGAAGGTTTGATGAGATCCAGAAAAGCCTCTCATTCATGCATGTAACAAATTAGTTCCAGTAGTTTTCATAAGGCCTCAGTTATCTACTATGTGTTGACTTTTCCAAGAGGGCACTGAGTGTCCTCATGACCTGGCAGCTGGCCTCCCTAAGAATGAGGATCCCAGGAAGAACAAGGAGGAAGCCATGACACCGTCTCTGAACTAGTCCCCGACATCACACATTCCTATTGCCAAATGCCTTTTCATTCTTTGGAAGAAAACTCTTTAAGTCCAGGACATATGGAAGGGAAGGGAAATTAGTCTTCTCCTTTTGAAGGGAGTAGTATTAAAAATGTGTAGGCATATTGGAAACTAACATAGCAAGTTAATAAACTTATATGTGTCTCAGCAAGTCCTACTGGATACCCATCATTGTATTCTCAAAATTGTAGCTATGACTTGTGTTGAACCTGTTAAAAATGAAAACTGAACTAAACTAATCTAAACTAAACTAAAATATATATACTCTAACCCATTCATCTAAGTGTGAGGACATCACTAGTTCTCACTAGTGCTTCCTTTTTTGACCCTTACATCCTATTCTACACTAAGCTTCTAGAATGCAGATAATGGGCAGACAGTGTGGCACAGAGGTTAAGTCACTGCCTGCGATACCTGCATTCCATATTGGGGTACCTGGATTCAAGCCCCACTCTTGCTTTCAATCCAGCTTCCTCTAAAGCACACCCTGGGATGCAGCAGGTGATGTCTCAAGTACTTGGTCTGTGCTACCCACATGGGAGGCTCACATTGAGTTCTGGGCTTCTGGTTGTTGTGGGTATCTTGGGGAAAGAACCAGTAGATAGCAGATATCTCTCATCCCCATCCCTCCATTGCTCTGCCTTTCAAAGGCATAAAAAAGTAAACAGATAGGATTGTGCCATTTCTCTGTTCAAAACCTTGTGTTGGATTCTCTCAGAAAGCCATTCAAGCTCCTCTCTCTATAGCTTCATCTCCTTTATATTTGGCCTGGATTACTGTACTCCATCCTTTCATAACTCCATGCTCTTCTTCCAGTTCCCCACCAGCCTTGCTCAGACTTCATGGCCTTTTAACTTGCTCTTTGATCTGCCTAGAAGATTCTTCATGTGACTGACTTTTATCTCAGAAGTCCCTACTCAAATGTCCTTTCCAGGAGAGCTTAGAGACCTGTTAAGAAATGCCTGAAATCTTTCAAATCACTTTCTTATGGAGTCATGAAAAAATTCACAGTAAATGTGTATTATGAAAAAAAAATGGGCTGGCACCGCGGCTCACTAGGCTAATCCTCCACCTGTGGCGCCGGCACCTGGGGTTCTAGTCCCGGTTGAGGCGCCAGATTCTGTCCTGGTGGCTCCTCTTCCAATTCAGCTCTCTGCTGTGGCCTGGGAGGGCAGTGGAGGATGGCCGAAGTGCTTAGGCCCTGCACCAGCATGGGAGACCAGGAGGAAGCACCTGGCTCCTGGCTTCGGATTGGCGCAGCGCGCCAATTGTAGTGGCCATTGGGAGGTGAACCAACGGAAAAAGGAAGACCTTACTCTCTGTCTCTCTCTCTCACTGTATAACTCTGCCTGTCAAAAAAAAAAAAAAAATGGATTTCAAAACTGTTTTGTACCAAAATGAGTTTATCTTTTTGTTCCATTTTTCCACATACTCTTTCAGGTACCCCAGTAGGATGACAGTCTCTGTGTGATACTCTATGAATTATTTGTGTATTTTTTGTCTGCCTCTCTCACTGGACTGTTAGCTTCATGAGAGGAAAAAGTTTGGTTTTTTCACGGACATGTATGTTGTTCTCAGGATGGTGGAGTGAACACTCAAAAACTGTTTGTTAAATGAATGAATAAGCAGGGTTATGAGTCAACTGATTAATCTGGAAATCACAAGATAGAAGCTGTTCTGTCCCACACATATATTTTGCTAATACATTATCTGACAGTCTTCTTTAAAAATAGAAATTCGTTAACATCTTGTATAGATTGTGAGATATTATAGAAAATTCAAATTTTTGTCTTTTGGGGGGAAATCAGAGATTTTTGTACTTGGAATCTGTTAGTAAAAATGTATAACGCTTATTGGCACCTGCTCTTTTCCAAAAGGTTCACCCCAGACCTCACCAACCCCCTTGATATTCCTGACACCAGTGGCTCTCTTGTACCTAGTATCCTCCATTCCTCTGTGACACCTGCTTTAGATAGGCTTTCCGGACCCTACACTCCATGTACATGCAATATAACTGTCAACATTGTCCCATATGCTGTGTAATTTTTTATGTCTAATTTAGAAATGCAATTGGCAAAATGAAATTGGTCCTGTATTGAAGCCATATTCATAATAAGACACACATTTTAGCTTTTGATGCCGTTCTAGTTATAGAACAACCAACCCATCTTGACAAACTCAGTAGACTCTTCATTACTAGTGAAAGGACAGAAAGATTCAATTGGGTTTCAAAATAGTTTTCACTTTTGGAAGGCTATTTTTAAAGCATTTTTTGAAAACATAGATTTCAAATACTTTTCTCTATTTTTGAAGCCTCATGAACATTCAATCCAGATGTTTACCTAAAGTGATTTGTTTACCAGCCTGAGACACGCCCAATTGTCCTAGAAAAGAAAATAGCTGTATTCAATAATAGATGGCTGTGTGTGCTGCCATGAAACAAAGAAAAATACCTAGGTCAGGTGTTTGTCATAGCAGGCAAGAGGCCACTTGGGACTCCACATCCTGTATTGGAGTGCCTGGGTCTGAGTTCCTGCTCCAGTCTAAATTCCAGCTTCCTGTTAATATACACCCTGGGATGCAGGGAGGTGGCTCCAGTATTTGGGTCTCTGCCACCCATGTGGCAACTCCATATTGAGTTGCTGACTCCTGACTTTGGGATGGCACAGTTTCAGCTGTTGCAGGCATTTGGGGAGTGAGGCAGCAGATGAGAGCTCTCTCTCCTTGTGTCTCTCTTTCTCTCTGTTTCCCTGTGCCTTTAAAATAAGTAAAATAAATAAATAATAAAACATGAGCAATTATTTTTAAAATATTAAAGGAGAAATACCTGTATATAATGGCAAGAATTCTGTCATTTTGCTAATTGTATAACAATAGTCATTTATATTTAGTTTTGAGTATTTATTGAGGGTCTACTATGGGTAAGGCAGTGTTCTAGGCAGTTACAGAACTCATTTTCTGTCTTATGCTCTTGGGACCCAGATAGCAAACAATAAACCAATAGACAAGTCCATATTCCAACATGCACATTAGGTGTTTCCTGGGAGGAAAGTGGAGCAGGGTAAGGGTGATGAGGAGCACTGGCTGATTATTGTATTTAATGATGTGATCAGAGTGGGTCATGTGGAAAAGATGGGATTCGAGCAAGATCCAAAGGAGGTAAGGGTGTTAGCCAAGTAGATCTGTGGGGGGAAAAAGGCCTTCCAGGACAAAGAACGACTGAAAGCAAATGCCTTAAAGCAGGAATGTGCCTCAATGTGTTCAAGAAATGGTATGGTTACTCTGAGTTACTGTTCAGTTAAGTAAGCTGACAACCATAAAGAACAAGTACATCATGAATGGAAGGGGAGAGGGAGTGGGAAAGGGGAGGGTTGTTGGTGGGAGGGACGGTATGGGGGGGGAAGCCATTGTAACCCATGAGTCGTACTTTGGAAATTTATATTCATTAAATAAAAGATAAAAAAAAAATAAAATAAAATGAAGATAAACACTAAAAAAAAAAAAAAAAAAAAAAAAGAACAAGTACATCAATGTACCCACTATTCTCCATTGAGTACTACTCCATAGGGATAGTCCAGTGTCTTCAGCTAAGGAATATGTATCATTTATTTTTAATTAGTCTCTTATGTGACTTGGCCATGACCTGGGCTTTTGAGACCATGAAAATTTGCAGGTTTCATTTTTCTAAAAAGAAGTTAACAGACTGACTTGGGTTGGCTCTTATGAGAAGATCCTGACTCCAAGTTACCCTATATGTACGATAAATTCTCTAAACTACACTTTCATTATTCCCTACGCCCTTTCCTATTTCATAAATTGAATGCTGGTGCTTTTCAAATGTAGCCCATGAGGAAAAGGATAAGAACTTGGATTTGTTCTCTTCCATTGCCTGTTAATTACTCTCCATTAAGTAATGCAGGTCAGAGAGTGTCATATGAAACACTGTGTTAACAGAGCTTCGTGTCTTCTCAATGCAGCTGCTGGCAGAAGACTGGCCATTTGGAGCTGAGATGTGTAAGCTGGTACCTTTCATACAGAAGGCCTCTGTGGGCATCACTGTGCTCAGTCTATGTGCTTTAAGTATTGATAGGTAAGAGTTTATATTTAAGCCAGGTATAACCTGAATATTGTATTACTGATTGCCATGAATTTAGAAAATAAGCTTGGGGCCGGCGCTGTGGCACAGTGGGTTAAAGCCCTAGCCTGAGACGCTGGTATCCCATATGGGTGCCAGTTCGTGTCCTGGCTGCTCCATTTCTGATCTGGCTCTCTGCTATGGCCTGGGAGGGCGGTAGAAGATGGCCCAGGTCCTTGGGCCTCTGCACCCACGTGGGAGACCTGGAGGAAGCTCCTGGCACCTGGTTTAGATCGGTGCAGATCCGGCTGTTGCAGCCATCTGGGAAGTGAACCAGTAAATGAAAGACCTTTCTTTCTGTCTCTCCGCCTCTCTGTAACTCTGTCTTTCAAATAAATAAAAATAAATCTTTAAAAAAAATAAGCTGTGTCATTCTACAAAATTAAGCTCTTCAAGCTTGGAAAAACAATTCTGTTTTCATCTTCAGATATCGAGCTGTTGCTTCCTGGAGTCGAATTAAAGGAATTGGGGTTCCAAAGTGGACGGCAGTGGAAATTGTTTTGATTTGGGTGGTCTCTGTGATTCTGGCTGTCCCTGAAGCTATAGGTTTTAACCTGGTTACAATTGACTACAAAGGAAGTTACCTGCGAATCTGCTTGCTTAATCCCACTCAAAAAACAGCCTTCATGCAGGTAAATTTTACCTGTTTTCCTCTTTCTGCCCTTGTACAAGCTTAGCTATTTCCATCTATTCCTCACTCCTTAAGAAGCAATTGATTTATGACTGTCCAAAGAGTGTAGATCAATCCCAGGACCATCAGGATAAAGGTGTGACTCATCCCCTAAGATACAAGAAGCTAGGTTAGTGCTTCCACAAGAACCCTGTCCCTGGATCTCAGGGACACAAATACACCAAGTTCTCATCAGAGAATTAGTGTGAATGTATAGCTTTTCCACCAAAAGAAGCAAAAGGACTGACTGCTACCACATTTTGCATAAGGCAACACAGCAGTCATCAGGAATAGAGGAGGGGTCAGCACATGTTTGAAATGAAGTCACCCTAATATGGGCGGATTCTGAAAGGCAAGCCTGTCCTCCCTGTCTTTGATGCTAAAGAGAAAGCTGCCATTGCAAAGCTCTTTTCAACCAGGCCATTTATTACAGAATATTTGACCAGGAACCAGGAAAAGAATGGTAATGCTGGTCTCGAGAAGATAGACCCTAAAGTTAAAAGGATCTTTCCAAAAAATATGTCCAGAGAAGTTAGTGCAAAGGGGGCTGGTCTAACTATCACCAAAAATTATTTTCTAATTTATATATAAGAAATCTCTCAAGAAAAGTTCATGAACTCTGTATGTCATCATAAGGAAAAGAGTGAAGAAGGACATTTATGTGAAATTGAGAATGACTCTTGTTCCATTGTTTCCTCTTAGTTAAAGGGGGAGGGTTTATATGTTACATAAATTCTTGTCAACATGGATATATCCACAGCAAGAATTTTAAACATATCAGCAGAAAAATAATAACCAATAAAGCATGTAATAAACAGCCTTGATTTTCCATTAAAATCTTGGATTTGCATATGCTCTATGAGCTAAATGGTTAACCTGGACATTTTCATATCTGTTTTTGCCATCAAACAAATTTGCTAAAAAGTGAACATTTCACTTAAACAGTAAGATATCTATTATATATTCATATTTGGTATTTCACACAAAGGTTACCCAAAGTATAACTTACTTGTATGAAGACAAAATATTGAATTAGTAAATATTTCAAGATTTTACAACTGCTTACATTTTAAAGCATGATTATAGTACACTGCCCTAGAGAACTGAAATACCTTTTAGAAAAAGTTTATTTCATTCAATATAGGTGTTTAGTTATTTGTTTGATAGATGTGACCTGAAAGATTTTACATTGTGCAGTATTTATAAAATGGATTTTCTTTAGAAGAGAGTTGTTCCTTGATTTTTTAAACATTTGGTACATAAGACTTTCTTAAAGAAAAGGCATTAATCATAAACATTTCTCTTCTTCATAGTTTTATAAAACAGCTAAAGATTGGTGGCTATTTAGTTTCTATTTCTGCTTACCATTGGCCATCACTGCCTTTTTTTACACTCTGATGACCTGTGAAATGTTAAGAAAGAAGAGTGGAATGCAAATTGCCTTAAATGATCACTTAAAACAGGTAAGAAAATAAAATTATTTGACTTATGGTTAGAATTATAATGATGAATATGGAAATTATGGTGATGAGAAATTATATACCAGAGCATGTTTCCTTTTTTCTGGCATCACTGAATTTATAAAGAATTGTTTTGCCTGTTTAGATGTATTCTATATTGCTAAAAGGATCCAAAGAGAACCATAACTTCTAAAGATGAACCTCTAGTTATTTTAGTTCTCATTCACATTAACTTTTCAATTTCAAGCTCCATGTCCTGAATTTTACAAATGCCACTGAATTTTTATAAACAATGTGAACTATTCTGCTGGGAATGAGAAAATGCTGTGAACAAATGAGCATCTTTTCAGGGTCTGACTGTGGTTTTCTTTCAGAGACGGGAAGTGGCCAAAACTGTATTTTGTCTGGTGCTTGTTTTTGCCCTCTGTTGGCTGCCCCTTCACCTCAGCAGGATCCTGAAGCTCACACTTTATGATCAGAATGACCCCAATAGATGTGAACTTTTGAGGTAAGAAAGGCACACTAGGCATCATGTGGGAAATAAGCACCACTCAGAACTATTTCCACCCACCCCTTTCATAGGTAGGAAGACAGAAACCATTTTTCTAATCCTTGGAGAGCATTTCAGACTCCCAGTTTTCCCTTCGCTCCTGTTTCAGAGGGAGGAGTAAAGGATACCTAGGAGAGCCCTGGGGACACAGAGGCAGGATTATAAATGATGAGTGAACGGCAAAATAGAAAAGATCAGGTTAGGATCTTCTTGGTGTTGTGAATCTTTTCTTTTCAGCCAGCCTTGGCAATGAGATTTCATTTTAAAAGACAAATCTGGGCATGAGAGGCAGGAGTGAGGGGCCGGGAGGTAGGGAGCTGTTGAGATGACAGTGACAGAAAATGAGACAGAGACTACTGATGGATTCAAACCATTAGGTATGTATAGTCTTTTTATTTGCAAAAACAAAAAAGTCTGTAACAAATACATGCTTGGAGCAACATGTTTTTCACAGACATGTTTTGGTTTATTGTTTTTCAGCTTTTTGTTGGTATTGGACTACATTGGAATCAATATGGCCTCCTTGAATTCCTGCATTAACCCAATTGCTCTCTATTTGGTGAGCAAAAGATTCAAAAACTGCTTTAAGGTAAGAAAGTAATATTCTGCAATAAAAGTCCTTTGTAATATAGTATTAAACACAGCCCTTTCAAACTATAGAAATTTGTAGCCACAGAGATCTACCAAACTGCCTTATAGTTTTCCCTTGCATTACATTAACAGATACTTTTTCAAAATATGGCATTTGCTTATGAACTACTGTAGTCAATTTCTGCCTATGAATCCCAGTCACTCCCCACAGACTCAGCTAATCACATATATTAATGGAATTGCTCAGAATATAAATAAGAATTACATGCATAGTTATATGACAATTGTCACACAATGACATAAGAGCCAAACATAAATTAAAGGCATTATTCCCAATAGCCATTGTAATTAGGTTGGATACTTTTTCACATGAACTTTTGTGAATAGCAAGTTAAACAAATTTGATTTAGATTCTTCTACTTCTTTTTATAACAGAAGCTTGCTGTTCAATATGGATTTATCTAATTATTCCCCATTCAGCTGCTTTTGTATTCTACCACCCCTCCATCTATTCACTTCTTCAGCAATCTAACAGGAAATAAAGTATCCTTTCTTACATGGGAAGGATCCACTTGTCTCTGTTATTTCATTATTAGAGTGCTAAGAACTTAGCTTCCTTATAACCACCAAGGCAGTTTTTGCTATTAAGTAAACTTGTTAAAAAGTGAAAACTTTTCTTAAACATCAGGATATTTGTACATATTCAGATGTGGTATTTCACACACAAAAAAATCCTAAGGATAACTTGCTTGTGTGATGAGAAAACATTGGATTGTGAAATGCTTTGAATAGGAATGTTCTGGTTATAGAGAGTAGGCAAAGAATTACTGAGATTTTAGAGTAAGAAAAGAACGTTTATCAAAATTGACTCTCTCATTGTTTAGAACTAAAAATAGTGGATCTCCCATTTTCTTATATGTACAGTTTCTCAGAAAACAGTAAAATAAATTTCGGATCTTAAAAAATCCAAGAGAAGATCTGGATGGATAAATCTGAGATGCTTGCAGACTTTATATTCTTACTGAGTAACAACATGGAAAAGATTTGTATACTTTTTAACCTTATTATATAACAAGATTAAGAATAGCATCTCCCTGGAAAAAATAGCATAGTACTGTTAAATTCATTGAGACAGAAAGGTGTTTATGAAACTTTCAAGTAAGAAGAAGGTTATGGAATACATGTATAGTATAATCTCATTAAATATGTTATACACACACAAACACATGGATGTGGTGATATTTCTGTTTGTGTAGACAAACATCATGAATTATATATTTTTTAAATATTGAGAATATTTATCGAGTAATCAAGAGTTTCAAGAATTAAGATTAACTTTATCTTGGCAAGAACTTTTATTATTTAGATTCTTTCATTGTATTGTTTTAGTGAAAAAACTATCATCTACTCAAATATAATTCAATTTTTTTCAAGGGAAAAATAAGGGGAAAGAAAGGGCCTGAGAACTCCCAATTATGCAAGGAAAGACAGAACCCCAGAAAGTAAGAAAGTTGTAACAGGGTGACTAATGTTGACATATAATGAGTGACTTTGTTTTGTACAGTCATGCTTATGTTGCTGGTGCCAGTCATTTGAAGAAAAACAATCCTTGGAGGAAAAGCAGTCCTGCTTGAAGTTCAAAGCTAACGATCACGGATATGACAACTTCCGTTCCAGTAATAAATACAGCTCATCTTGAAAGAAGGAAGAGTCATTTAATTTCATTTTATTTTGAACAGAAGTCATTTCAACAAAATGAAACCTTTGCCTGAAAAAAATTGTATATTTGCACAAAACAATGTAAAAATGTAAGAGTGATTATTTTAACACTCAAAGATACACGTGACATTTTATGAGCTGTTTACATCACGAGAAGGAAAGCAGTGAGAATCAAGGAAGCCTCATTGTGAAAGCACTTAATTTCTACAGTTAGCACTTCAGTATAGCTCTTAATTATTTCCAGTATATTCATTTACCACTTATATTTTAAACAGAGCTTACTCAGAGTTCCTATTAAGGAGGTTTATTTTTTAATCTATATGAATCTGATATAATGGAAAAATATGTCACTATAAAACAGAGTTTTGAAGTGACATTTAAATTACTCAATTTATAATTTTAAATAATCCTTTAAAATAACTTTTTATTAATATTGTCAAATCATTGATCAGATTGCAATTGAATGCAAAATATGAAAGCAGTTTAGTTGGTGTATTTTTAGGACATTGGAAGCATTTAAACTTTCCAGATGAAGTATCTGATAGATGAAGGCAAAGTTCTTAAAAATCATTATACTCTACATTCCGAAAAGATAAAATATTTCAAAGGGAGAGGGAGAGGAGGTTTGAAATCCTTTCCCAAAGGACTTCTTTGAAATATTCCATTCACATACTCTGCAAAGAAAGTACTATCTACAGATGTTTTTGAGAATTATTAAAATCCTCTTTCACTACTGTAGTTTAAACTCTGCTTAGTTTCATCATCTGTAAATATTTAGCTATATACACTACATGTAGATGTTTAAATGATGGGCAGGCCCCAGTCAATGCTCTACAATGGAGAGATGCCAGTGACCCCATAACAGACAGAATGTGAATTGCCTGGTGCAGTGTCCACATGGCAAAGGAGTGGGATGAACTCTCTTCTCTCACCTGTGCTGTAGTTAAAATGGTGTCTAGTATAGGTACAACCTAGCTACCATAAGGCTTTTTAAAATCACAGATTAGTCCATGTAACAGCAGCCCATAGGGGTTATTAACCTTTATATTATTTTTGTAAGGAACCGATTGAAAAGCGTTCTTCATATGGTGCTTTTCTATCACACAGAGACAAAACTGCTTTCTGAGTCTGTCAGAATTTTAATGCACTTAGTGCATTCTTGCCTAAGTTTTTAATCTCCTCGGCAAAGTACATTAGATTAACTTGGGATGAAATGTGTGTGAAAGTATGTACAAGAAAAAACGGAAGAGGGAGGGAATGAGGTGGAGTGAAAGGAAACCCATGGGGACTGAATCCCATTCTTAGCCTGACGTTCGTCATTGCCCCGTCACTTCAATTAAAAGGTCCTGATTCCGTTCCAGCAAAACATAGTGCAATGTTCTCAGAGTGACTTCAGGAACAAATGGGGCCCAAGAGCTTTAACTCTGTCTTAAAATACAACAGAATTTCCACTTTTTTTTCTTTTAGTAAGCCAGTCCACATGTTGGAAACAAGCTAGCAACGTTTTTCTTTGCCAGAATCTAATGTGATGATCAAACCCAACCATTGTAGCCCAAAAGAAAGGACAATCATTCATTTACATGCCATGTGGATTCCACTTTAAGATTACCCACAAACTTGGGTCTTAATTTCTTCCCATTTTTTTCAGACGTCTGCGATCAGAAAAGACATTGCAGACTTTCCGTCTTAAATTAACTTTGGGTCACCAATGTTTTCAGTTTAATATATCTTGTTTTAGATCATTTTTGTTACCATGTACTGAGGTTGAACATCCTAACACCCTCCTCATTTGCATCTCAATGTCCTTCCTTCTCCGTGCCAGAATCATGATCTGGCACATACTTCAAGTTTTTAAACTGCACACAGAGTATATAAAATCCACAATTACAATGAAATGGCATCCAATAGCTTTTTTTAAAAAAATGTTTAGTTCAAAATTTTAACATAGTAATAGAGGATGGCAAGAAATAAACATGTTTGCTTTGCATAATTAAAGCCAAGATAGGAAACAGTGCTACTGTTTATCCTTAGAATGTATTTCCTTGTAGTAAGAAGTGTTTAAGGTAGTAACAGACAAAATAATTGTTAACACAAATGTTACAGCACAAAGGATTTATAAATGTTCTGGGCTATTTTCTCCTCATCACCCATTATTGATAGAGGTGTATAATCAAACACCTTATATTATTGACAGCTTACCTGTGGCCAAAGGAATACAGTTTATAGCAAAACATGGGTATGCTGTAGTTATCTTTCAAAAATTGTAATATAACCATGTAAAATTATTATATATTTTATTTTGTCTGTGATCACTTCAAGTGACAACTACTGTGGTTGCTGATTCCTTATTATATAAACAAAACTCAATAAAAATTTGAATTGTTTTTTAAAAAGACCAGTTTGTTTTTCACTGTGCAAACACTGATTAATGATATACTCATGAAGAGTTTAAAGGAAAGATAAATACTAATTAATTGTTTAAAGGAAATACATCATGTTAAAGATATAACTATCTAGGAAATACGAAATTTGTTCAATTAAAATACCAATTTCTGGTATCTGGACTGTGTTGTTGTTATGTTTCATTATTGTAATGAACCAGATATACATACAGAGGTTCAGCTTTCCAAGGCTGATTATCTGGTTGATAAAGTTTCCAGTGGCCTCATATCTTTCGTTCTCTAGTTTCCTGCCTTTAGAACATTTCACTCTGTAATCACTAGTGTAGTATAGTGTAGTACATGATCATATTACAGTGTAGTAAGTGTGAAAGGTTGAAATGAAATTTGGAAATCATTCTTTTCATTTCACAGGCTTCTTTGAGATTTATCATATGCAAGGTGGGATGGAGTTAATGAGGTGCCGCCTTCCTGATAGATAGGAGACAGACCTGAAAAACTTCATGACAAAACAAAATTAGCAGAGCACTAAATAGTTGCACATTGATTGCTGTAGAACTCGCTGGTTTGGCTGTCTCAGCACATAACGCTTCTCTTTACTAGCCCACAATTATCCAGAAGCAGCATGTATTCTTTTCCCAAAAAATTATGTAAAACTCAGCCTAGCATTCCAGAGCTTCCTGTCATTTACCCTTGACTTTTGCTGGATTTCAGCCATGTAATCTCAGCTGGGCACTTCAAGATACAAGTGTCCTGAATCCCAGGGATTATGTGAGAAGTACAGAGAAGGATAGCATAAGAAGTACTCACTTTGCGCAGTCACCAATAAGAGTCTTCTTTCTCTTGAAACAACTGTTAAGTAATAATAATAATACCCACATAATTACTATAATAAATGTAGGAAGAATAGGTATGATAAACAGAAAGCCAAGAGATGTGGCATCCCTAAGAGGTAAAGAGCCAGAAATCCCGAAGTGTAGAGGCCAAGTTTGTAAAGAGCAACTTTTCTGCAGTGACAAATTTTGAGTCATTAGCCTCACAAGGGACAGGCATTGGAGAATCAGCAGATTGAATAAGTGTACACAGTTGGAAATTCCCATCAGAAAAGCTTGTACTTATGTTTAGCCTTAACACAAGGCTGAGCAGATTAGGGGGTTAATGGACTTCTGGTGGTGATTGGCATGCCGGGAAACTAAAAGGGAAAAAGCAGCATGGCTAGTTCAAGGGAAGGGCTGACCTTTAGCATGATGGAGAAGAGTGTGAGGGGTGGGGCTGGAGAGATGACCAGGTCAAGGCAGGTGATACATACAATGCTTTCCCTTTACCATGAGTTACTGGTTCACAAATGAGTGAGGATCACCTGTCACAGACTCATTTTGGATGCTTGTTTAAAACAAAGATTTCTAGGCCCCCAACATTGAACTATATCATCAGAACCTCTGGGATGGAGCCCAGAAGTATTTAACCATACTTCAAATAGCTCTTATTCACCTAAAATGGAGGACTACAATGTCTTAGATATTTGCAAAGAACTGAATATTTTAAATAAGCAGGATTACTTCTGCTTGTGTAAGACTGCCTTGAAAGCAGTGTGAAACATAAATTAGAGGACTACAAGACAGAAATCATGCAGACTGGGTACAGTTACTGTAACTAACTGACAGGTGAAAAGATTAACAACTTGAGAGAAGAATATGCATAAGGATTTGGAATCAGAGCAGATGGTGAAAGATAGAGTTATCATAGTGTACTAACCAGACAGATGTGGGAAATGTAGCTCGATTAAGAGGCTGTTGGCTGAACAGCCATTAACCCAGGTCAGAGATCATCAAATTAGGGCCAGAGGTACAAATTCAGTCTACTGGTCTGCTTCTGTAAATAAAGTTTTATTGGAACACAGCTGTACTATTTTTTTTTACATATTTACTATGCTTGTCTTTCACTACCCACCAGTTGAGTACTTGAGTAGACAGAAACCATATGGCTTACAAACCCTGAAATACGTGGTTATCCAGTCTTTATGGAAAATTTTGCTAACCACTTACTTAGATAAACAGCATTGGAGGAAAAGAGAGGAAGAAATTGAGTAGGAGGAGGAAAAGGAATTTTGAGGATGTAATGAATTCTGTTTGGGAAATAAAGATTTAAGGTAATCTTGGGACGTTCACTGAGATAATTAGGAGACATCTCCGGGTTAAAAACAAAATTTTATTATTGTAGTTTAGGGATGTTAAGATGAAAGGAGTGAGTGGAATGTTTAAAAAGAATTTCTGAAGAGTAGGGGTGGAGGAGGAAAGAAATGGAGAATTAAATAGTAGAAACCACAATTGCAAGAACAGACAGAGAAGAGAAAAAGTCACTGCAAGGAGTAAGGAAGGCAGGTTATCATGAAAGTCAGGGAGAAAGGAGATACAAAACAATGAGACTCTAAGTAAAATGAGAAAAAGTAAGAGATTTTGAAATTGGCACTATGAAAAATGTTGGATACCTCAGCTAGAGCAATTTGTGTGTTTGCATGTAGGCTGCGTATGTGTGATATAACAATGTATCTGCTTTCTCATTTCCTAGTCACTCATAACATACATTATGCCAATTTAGCTCTAGAGAAGGATTAAGCTTCTGTAAAGGCAGTGATTAAACATATGTGTTTGTTCCTAACTCTCCTTCAAAAACTCCAATAAAATAAAAAATAAAACTAAAAATATATAAACTCACAATGACAAAGATGAAAGAGAAGATAGGAGTCTTCTAGAAATGTTAACAAAATTGTGTAAGAAGAAAATTGGGTAAAATAATGATAACTTTCTCAGATTTCTGTTTTCTCTACTAAATGTCTGCCAGGGAGGTAGGTTGAAATGTTTCAAAACCCTGAATGTACTCAACAGTTAGAAAGAACAGATGCCCTTGAAGAAAAAGGACTGACGTGAGACCTAAACCAAAAGAATTAAAAGTCTATTAACGCTGGCGCCGCGGCTCACTAGGCTAATCCTCCACCTTGCAGCGCTAGCACACCGGGTTCTAGTCCCGGTCGGGGTGCCGGATTCTGTCCCAGTTGCCCCTCTTCCAGGCCGGCTCTCTGCTGTGGCCAAGGAGTGCAGTGGAGGATGGCCCAAGTGCTTGGGCCCTGCACCCCATGGGAGACCAGGAAAAGCACCTGGCTCCTGGCTTCAGATCAGCGCGGTGCGCCGGCCGCAGTGCGCCAGCCGCGGCGGCCATTGGAGGGTGAACCAATGGCAAAGGAAGACCTTTCTCTCTGTCTCTCTCTCTCACTGTCCACTCTGCCTGTCAAAAAAAAAAAAGAAAAGTCTATTAACATCTCTAATTCTCCATGTAGCTATTGGCTGCTGCCCAGTCAGCTGAAAGACAGGTGACTTACTCTCTGGAAAAGTTGTTGCATATTATCTTCGGACACATAGTAAGGGCAGCATAAGGTAGAAATGAGACCCCTTATGGAATCAAGGATTAAGCAAAGACCTGCGTTGTAGACAGTGAGGTCTTAGGTTCTCAAGCCCTTCTAACAGTGACTTGTAGCATTATATGGCCCAGGCGAGAGAATGAAGATTCTATCCCGAGGAAATAAACAGCCCAAGCAAAACAAAGCAAAACACACCTACACATATCAACACTGGAGATGAGGGGAATTCTCACCAGAATGCCTGCTGCATTCTGCCCTCATATGTCGAATTTCCAAGTTTCCACTTCTACACCATTTGAAAATACGAATGAATGACAAAAACCTGTAGAATTTTCAGAAATTCTGATGTAAAAGAACCTGAAATAAATAAGAAAAATTATAGAGGATAGATTGAGGAAAAATAAAACTACAGGCAGCCCAAGGAAAAAAAAATCAACAGAATTCATAATTAATTTTTCTATAGCAAAAAAAAAAAAAAGGAAACACATAAAAACCAGTATGCTATGAGAACAAAAGGGACATTCAGGGATCAATAAAGTGCTATTGGAAACTGAAAACATACAAAAATAAATAAAATTAAACATAATAAAATGCTTCAAAGGTCAATATCACAGAAAAGTCGAATGTAAAGGCTGGTGCTGCGGCTCACTAGGCTAATCCTCTACCTGCGGCGCCAGTACCTTGGGTTCTAGTCCCAGCTGGGGCTCCGGTTCTGTCCCAATTGCTCCTCTTCCAGTCCATCTCTCTGCTGTGGCCCAGGAGGGCAGTGGAGGATGGCCCAAGTGCTTGGGCCCTGCACCTGCATGGGAGACCAGGAGGAAGCACCTGGTTCCTGGCTTCGGATCAGCCATAACGGCCATTTGGGGGGTGAACCAACGGAAGGAAGACCTTTCTGTTTCTCTCTGTCTAACTCTGCCTGTCAAAAAAAAAAAAAGTCAAATGTGAAGTTATTCTACCAACATCAGCATCAGCAAAACTAAGGAAGGAAATAAAGTAATCTAGGAAACAGGTGAATCCAACACAGGAAAGAGTCAAAAACTGTTTCCAAAGTGATAGACCGGGGTGATACAACAATCTACATATTGCAATGGGTCTGGTTATGGACAGAATAAGAGGAAGAGTATCTCCAAGACTAAAGTAGATCAGAGGTGTTGTCTGTTATTTTTTTTTTAAATAGTTATTAATTTATTTGGAAGTCAGAGTTTCAGAGAAAGATGGAGAGAGAGAGAGAGAGAGATCTTCCATCTATTGGCCTACTCCCTAGATGGTCGCAATGGTCAGCTCTGGGGCAGACTGAAGCCAAGAGCCAGAAGCCTCCTCCAGGTCTCCCATGTGGGTGGCAGAACCCTGAATACTTGAGCAATCCTCTGCTATTTCTCCCAGGCCATTATCAGGGACTTGGATAAGAAGTGAAGTAGCTGGGACAAGAACTGGCAACTGGCATTGCAGGTAGCAGCTTTACCTGCTATGCACATCTCTGGCCCACCTGTTATTTCTGACAATGTTTATAGGCACTTGTAGTTCTATAAATACATCTAATAAGAGTACAGAGAAGCAATCAAATAAAAAGTTATTTGACAAATGTGAACCCCCACCAAATTCTTTCTTGTATAATTCTTTCTTAGAGAGAGTCACTGCTAGATATTATAGATGTAACCAAATTTACCTTGTGAAAATAAACACTGAAGATTATTTTAAACAAAACCATAATGTAAATAATTGGAAGAACATGGTACTTGATGAT